AAAAATTATAGAAAGAGATCTTGCACTCTAAAAAATATAAAATAAATTAACTTTTAACCATAAAATTTCTAAATTAGAGATCCTCATTCAAGAACCCTAACCATATATATATATATAGAGAGAAATTTGATTAATGTTTGAAAATGTGGTAGCAATTGCTTTTTAATTTTTTTTTTTGAAAATAGATTAAAATAATATTTTTTTATCTATTTTTTAAAATTTATTTTTAACATCTACTCATCAAAATGATTTAAAAATTCTAAAAAAATAATTTAAAATAAAAAAATTCAAATTTTAACAAAAATCAAGTTGAATCTCAATGTCAAATACCCTAAGAAAAAGAACCTAAAAAACACCCTACATAAAGAGACTTTATAGAAGAAGAGATTACAAAATAACTAAAATCTAGATAAAAAAATATGAGAAAAATAAAAACTAAAAAAAGCAACCAGGGTCATGAAAAAACGAGGGATAAAACTACCCAACATACACTGAAAAATAAGCCACTAAATTTATAAATAACATAGGAAGAAAGTGTGCCATCATGTTCTGGAACATAAAAATAAAAATTTCACTTACACATCATGTATTTCCTTTGTTGAGATAATAATAAAGATTGATAATTTTTTTAATATATTGTGTACCATTTTATCTTGTTATTTGTGTTAATTCTGCTTATTTGCATCGAGTTAAAAGGTGGGAACCTTATCGAATTGGCAAAACATATAATTATAAATAAACACAAGCGAAATAATAAAAAAAACCTTAGTCTAGTGAAATTAAATTGCCACATGAGAGCTAGAAATAAATTGGGTTATAAATAAAAAAGACATGTTTATTGAAAAAAATGCATAATTAAGGAATAATATTTTTGACTTAAGATATATATTTTCTCTATTAGGATTTAAGTCTCTCAAATTTTTATAAATTTTTATTTTAATAATTATAAAATTAAATAAAAATAGTTTTGAAAATTGTATTGTAGTGGATGCAATATTTAAGTATCCCCTAAGAAAGGTTAATAAACTATCTTTTTTTTTTCTTGTTTTCTAAATGAATATTATTTCAAGTTTCTCATTTTCATTGTATTAGAGAAAGTAAATATTTGTAAAAAGAATATAAAATAACAATCAGATTTTATGGTGCTCAATAAGTTTTCAATTTTTTTTTTTCAGTGAACACTAATAATCCATAAAGACTCCCAAGTGGCGTCGTTTTAACTGCCGTCGGATCTAGGGTTTTGAAATATAAAACCCTATTTAGAACAGTTTCCATTCTCTTGCCTCTCCCTCGCTACACTCTACAAAGAGAGACGCAGGAAGTAAGGACAAGCAAGATGGTGCAGCGACTGACATACCGGAAGCGACATAGCTACGCCACCAAATCCAACCAGCACCGTGTCGTCAAAACCCCTGGTAACAACTCTTCCATTGTAAATAGTGTAAAAGAGAAAAGAAGAAGCAAATTCTTTGGATTAATAGTTTTTTTTTGTTTATGAAATGAAGGTGGGAAATTGGTGTACCAGACCACCAAGAAAAGAGCTAGTGGACCTAAGTGTCCTGTCACTGGCAAGAGGATTCAAGGGGTACTTTTGTTTCTCTTTTTTCCTTTTCTCAAATTTTAGTTTTGGATTGTACTTCTGTTGCAACATTGATTTTATGAAAAAACTTAGAAAGTATTTTATGATAGACATAGTTGGTTGGAGACGCTTCAAGTTGTTTTTGTTAGGAGTTGGGATTTTATTTTGTTACTCTAAATCGAATCGAATCGAATCATGTTGAAGTACAATTTCACCTTAGCGATTGGCGTGTTAAAATGATTGTCGGGATGGGCGCGCAAACTACTCTGATTTGTGGTTGTCTGAGAGTTTTAGGAGATGGAGAGGGCATTTTTCGACATGTTAATTGGTTGCTGCCTGAAATTTGGGGTTTTGGGTTACAATGATTTTTTACTCCTACAAGTGTTAGAGATGAATTTTGGCATTTCTTTGTAGTCTCGGGCATCCACTCCCTTTAAGTCTTCCCCTGAAGTCAGCCCATCTTAAATGCTCCTCTCTACTACTTGTCATTTTGCTAATAGGTTTTACTGGGTTTTAGATTCTATGTGATTCATTGATGGGTTCCTGTAAGCGGTAGGGGATTTCCAAGAAAAGCGTGTGTGATTCTTTTCATCGGTCATGTGAAGAGTTGTTTTGCCCTTGTTTTCTGTTGTAGTAACTTATGCATGCAAATTTATCAGTGGTTGCTGGCTGCAGCATTTTAAACTCTGTTGTTGTCTACAAAGCTTGACCTGATGATGCTTGTTTTGATAAAGTTTTTACTTCCTTGCAGATTCCTCACTTGAGACCCGCGGAATACAAGAGGTCCAGATTGTCTAGGAATCGCAGGACTGTAAATCGTGCCTATGGTGGTGTCTTGTCTGGAAGTGCTGTCAGGGAGAGGTACTGCCTTGATGATTTATTGTTTCCTGCTTTTTCTGAAGTGATGGAAACTGGTTTAAGTGGTTTTGGTATGTTTTTTTATGTAGAATTATCCGAGCTTTCTTGGTAGAGGAGCAAAAGATTGTGAAGAAGGTTCTGAAGATTCAAAAGGCAAAGGAAAAACAAGCTTCAAAGAGTTAAAAAAGAGGTTCATGGAGTAATGTGTCCTGGGTTTCAATGTTTGAGCAAAATTTTGATGTTTTTGAGTATGATGATTTTTATCGTGTTTGATATTTATGCATCGACTTGCCTTTTATTCAATTTGACTAGATAGCACTGTAAACTTCATGTTTTATGATAACCAGTGTTTTAATGATGCCTTGCCTGTAGGATTCTTCTACAGTCACTGAACTTGCAGATGGCTTTGTAAAATTACTTGCACCCCGGGGTTTGGATGGGGTTAATCCAAACCCTGGGATGCAAGTAATGTGGATAATATGGATCATGAAAAAGTTGAGATAACCTGATAAAACAGAAATAATAAAAAATTATAAAATCATAAAGTTATTTTTTTATATAAAAAAATAATGTTGGATAATTAAATTAGAAAAGAAAGATGTCAGCTTCCATAACTTTTTAAATTTTTGACTTGAGTTATTATATTGAAAGTATTATATATATGTAGAAATAATGAAGTTTAATTTTTAATAAATTAAATATTGAATAATAAAATTTAAAAAAAAAATTATATAAAAAATTTAAAATTTAAAAATAAAATACTAATTAAAAGAATGATAAATACTTGAAATAAAAATAAATTAGAAAGTAACTATAATTTTTTATTGGAAATTGAAATTAAAAAGAAATAATTTTTTAAAAATTAAATTAAAAAATAATATATTATAAATTTAGATTGAAGGAGTAGATTGAAAAATAATAATTTTTTTATAAAAGGATTAAGAAAAAAATTATAAATTAAAATAATAAAGATCAAATTAAAAAGTAAATATATAACAATAATAAAATTAAAAATAAATAAAATTTTTATAAAAAAATAAAAAATAAAAAATAAAAAATAAAGTTGAAAAATTAACAGCAAAAAAAACTAAACTATAATTTTTTTTTAAAAGAGAGAAATGAAAAAAATAAAATCCCAATCAATAATAAATCACTCCTCAACTATTGAAACACACTACGCTAAAAGGGAAACTACACTAAAAAGGAAAGGACATAGGAGCTCTTTCAATGAAATGATAAAATGATATTTTTGATAAATTTTCAATGTGACACGTGTTGTTTTAAGTGTACGAGTACCTTTTATAAGCCAACTAGTGTCCCTCACATACACCAACAATGTTTTTTTAAAAAAATAATATTTAATATATGTAAAAAAATTAAAATTGTTATTTTGTTGTGTTTTTAAAAATAAAAAGATAAAAATATTCTTATTTATTGATTAAAAATAATTTTTAACTTGAAGAGTAATTAATTTATTTTATTATGTTTAAAAATATTATAAAAAACATATATAACCCTAATTAATTCTTTAAAGACTAATAGACCACGGAAATAAATTGAAATATTCTTATCACTAAGGCATTTGATTTTTCAGTTGAGCAAAATAGTTCTACACTGTTATACTAGTTTATATATATATATATATATTTATATAGTGATTTTCCCTTTCTCTTTAGTTTGTTACTAGTATATTAACCCATACTTTGTAATGAGTCGATATTATTTTTTTAAAATATTAAAAATATTTAAAATTTTTTGGGTCTAATAGTCATGTGGCCTGAGTGTTCCTACTAGGTTATAACGATTTGGGTCTGATGATCATGCTTAATTAATTTTTTTTATAATTTTTTATATGTTTTATAATAATATTTAAATTATTTTGAAGTATTCTAAACAAAAAATCAAATTATTTAATAAAAAAATATTTAAACTATCCATGAAGCATTTTAAATTGAAATTCTAATTAATGTTTTTATATTTTTTTATAAAAAATTATTTAAACTATCCTTGAAGTATTTTAAACAGAAATTCTAATTAATTTTTTTATATATTTTATTAAAAAATATTTAAACTAACTTTAAATATCCTAAATAGAAATCTTAATTAGTTTTTTTAATTTTTATAAAAAGAATTATACTACTATAATTATTAAATACGGACCAACTTAATAAATTAATCTAAGATCCGGTTGATTTAGTAACTGTACCAATTCAAACTTATTAAAAGATCATTCATTGCAACGACCCGCATAAGGCCTAAGTAACTCTCTATGGTAAATTTGAGATCTTATCTCTGTATGGATCTTCTTGCCGCCTCCAGCCCCTTTAGGCGTGACAAGCCTCACAATTTTCGTTGCTGGGGAACAAGACCAGACGATTTGAGATCTAACTTCAAAAGACAACAACAATGGTTGTTAAATACCTTCGTATATTTTTAGTATCATACATAGTAGTCTTGGTAGATGAAGCAGCATGGCTTCAGAAAGGCTTCTCAAAGGACCATAAAAAAAACACTCATAACCCTTTATGAAGGCATATATATGAAACTGTAGAGACATGGCCTGGAGCTCACTGCTCTTGCATCCAAGCCCAGAACTAAGTGTTGATGATAATTAAAAGAAAGTGATTGAAGATAGAAAAGGCAAGTAATATCATGGCCAACCTGGAACAGCAAATCCAACCATAAAAAATAGATTACGCGTGGCAATAAAAAAAAGCAGCGGTTGCGAATAGTGAAGTATGAAGGATAAAGATTAAAAATGAATCAAGAATAATAAGAGCAGAAATAAACATGAAGGACAGTAGCACAAGCATCCGAGAAAGCAACTTGCATTTGGATGAGGATGACCAATTGCTGATGAGAGGCATAAGGATGACCAATCGCAGATGCAGGGTGGTGGAGGGGGTGGAGGTGGTGGGATTGGGTTGCGAATAATGGTTTTTTTAATGAAACGGGAGCGTCTTCCGGGGGCTTTTTTTTGTAAGTGCGGATATTTTTCCATAGTCATCTTTTTTATATTTTTTTAAGTTGAGTATTAGTATTTTTTAAAGTTTAATATATAAATATTAAAAAATATTTTATTTATAATATATATAGCCAATATTTATATGATTTTTTTATAAAACATTAAAATTTTAAATATATATTTTTAAAATTTTTCAAGTTGACTTGAGTTGATAAGTCTTTGCTAGGTCAACATCTAAGCCGGGTTTGATAACTATGCAAACTAACGATGCAAAAATCCTAGTTAATGTTTTTGTATAATTATTTATATTTTTTATAAAAAATATTTAAACTACTCTTAAAGAATCCTAAACAGAAATTTAAAAAAAAAATTATAACTTTTTTTATTTTTATAAAAAAAATATTTAAACTAACATTAATGTATTTTAAATAGAAATTCTAAATAATTTTTTTATAATAATTTTTTTATTTTTATAAAATAATAATTAAACTAACATTGAAGTATTCTAAACAAAAATTTTAATTAATTATTTTTTATTTTTTTTATAAAAAAAATATTTAAATTATCCTTAAAATATCCTAAATAATTTAAACTACACTAATGTTGGACATGTATTGTAGTATCTTTATGGGCTCGAGCACACATCTTGAACCCAACTCATTTGAACCAAACACTCTTTTAGGATCTTTTAAGGACTTTAGGTCTTTTAGTAGTTTTTCAGGACCCCTACATGAGTTTTATAATATTTTATATTGATTCAATATATATTATTTTAAATGGAATACAAATCAAGATACTATATTAATTTGTAGGAGTGAAATTATTTTTCAGTCCCTCCTTTTCATAAAATAACAAGATTCATAGATTATACATATCTGATAAATTCATCAAGTTCAAAGTTCATAATCTCTTCATTTTTAATATTTTTAGCACATATATTTTAAGAGTTTATCTTTTTAAATTATCATTATATTTTCTCTTTTTATAAAAATATTTACTTAAACATTCAAAAATTTCAATATCCTTTTTAAGTTTTTTTTACAAGTTATATATAATCTTTATTCTTAAACTACTTAGATTTTTTAAACATCATCTTAATTCAAAATAACTCCAAACTTTAGTTAGTTTATTAAAATGCTTCTTAAAAAAAAAAAATGCTTTTGATGATGTATTGACTTTCATTTGGTCGACCAAATTGACATGCTCTAGTTGCTATGATCTATTTACTTTCTTTATCAAAATAGGGATACGAGACGCCATCTAACAAAGCCATGATCATTTTGTTAGGTACATGCTCTGCTCTGGTTGTTATGGCTAACAATCTAATGCCATTACTCTGATGTGTATTCAGTTTCCAGGTTACCCAAAACAAAAAAAAAAAAACACCTTGAAAGTTAAAACTATGACAGAACAATGTTGGGACCGAAAAAAGAGAGAAGGTCCTGAGTGACCTCCGTGGGTCACGATGCTACCTTGTCGCGTTGCAACAATGCTTGATGTTGCAAGTGAGGTTCTGGCTTAGTGGTAGAAGAGGTTTGTCCTCTTTCTCTGTACCTGAGTTCGAATCTCACCATGCATATTTATCACCCCCGTGGTGCCTTACTTGCTCACTGGGCTTGCAGGATATTCAGTGGGCCGTGTAGATTAGTGGTGGTGCGTGTAAACTGACCCGAACACCCCACGTAAATCAAAAAAAAAAAATACTTGATGTTTTTTGGAGCCGACAACGTTGAGTCACAGCCAACCATGCTTATTAAATCCGACCTCATTTGTCAATTTAAAACCCCACCATTTTAGAAACTAGATTCATTTTAAATCGATTTGAATCTTAAAAGTAAAATTTAGCTAACTTGACTCGATAAAAGTCGAAAGAAATCTAAATGGGTCACTTCTAAAGATTTTTTTTATATATAATATTTTATTTAAAAGAATTTAAATGGTATTGATTTAGAGTCTACACCATAAATCCATGATCCGAGCTTTTGACCGGATCAAATGAATCTGGATTTAATAAATATGGCTACGAGGAGGGTAGGTATACGTTTCTGATACGGTTTGGAGTGTTGTAATCTCTTTTCTTTTCTTGCATTGTAAGGCCATAATAAGTTGTTCAAAACATGTGCTTCTCATAGTTCTACTTTTATAGGTTTATTGACTTGATCATGGGTATTCTACATTCTCTGTTCTCTGACCTTGTATATGGGGACACTGGTGGCTGGCTATGGTAAAAGGAAACTACAAGGGGAGTTGTAAGCTAGCACGATCGTTTAGTAAGCCTCGCTCCACCATTCCAGTCTCCCCCCTGGTTCTCACCTCCTGATGCCATATAATACTCGTATCATTCTAATGGGTTGAATATTACACGACATTTCTTTTTTTTTTAAAAAAAAAAAAAATGTTTTCCATGAGGGATAAAAAACCCATACTTCAAAAGATCGTGGGTCAACCAAGTTTTTTTTTTTTTGGATTACTTATTCATCTTTATATTTTTGGCTTTTCTTAGCTTCATTATCTTCAAGATTGTTGGTCTCTAATTTCTTCTCTCTATTGCAAAGATCCCACCTTTTGATTTTGTTAAGAGTAGATGATTGCTGTTATAAATTGTAATAGCTTGAGGGATTGAATTCCCATTTATGAATCTTGATTTGATGGAATTTTTATTAGAAATAGCCTTTGGTACAAGAGTGAGAGTGAAAGACTGAATGGATGAGAAATCAACATGGCTCTTTTTGAGAATTGTCCAGCTTGCAAAATTTAAAAAACTCATAATATTTTGATAAAAATGCTTAAATTAGTTGCATGAGTTGGCACGGAGTAATAAAAAAATAAAATAAAGCATAAAAAGTGTTGCATATATATATATATATATATATATATATATATATATATGATATAATGACAATTATTTTTCAGGATTAGATTTTGAATGGAAAAATAACAAGGAATTCTTTCTTTTTTTTTAGTTTAAATGTTTGGAATCTTTACGTTATATTTTGGTCACTAAAAATCTTAACTGATTTACATAATATATGGATAAAAAAACTAATTATATATGGAGAAGATAATATCACTCTTAATACATTCACTCTAAAGTAAATTATATTGTTGATTCTTCTAGTTATTACTAAAATTCTATCGTGTTTTTCTAATAGTAAATTTATTTATTGATTAAAACAAATTCACCTTAGTAAGGTGAACCATAATTTTATGAGTTAATTTTAGACATTCTAAAACTAAAATATTTTTTTGTGTATATTTTATACTTTTATTTCCCTTGATACTAGAAAAGTTGAAATACATCTTATATATAAATTTATAATTCTTAAATATTAAAAGTAAATAAAAGGGGAGAGAGAAGGGGTCATTATAGGTTAATCTTCCATATAAGTTCATAAAACATGATATAAAAAATAAAAAAATTGATTTTTTTAAGAATCACTAAAATTTAAGCGAAATTAGAATGAATTTTACAAACTTGTTATAAAATTTATATAGACAAAACTATTTCTTTGAATTTTCTTGTTTTTGAAATATACAATATTGTGTAAACAAGTATTTTTCCTCTTGTCTTTCATTTTTATGAAAAAAAAAGCACAAAATTTTTTTCTTAGTACTTGGCCATATATTACAAGTGACATTCAAAATCTAAACAACATACATTCATTAAAAAGAAATGATACACTAATATACCATGAAATTGAACCCATCAATGTATCATTCAAAGCATATACAGTCCATGGAAATTACCCCACTATCAAAATTAGAGTCCAAACCAAGCTAAATGGAATAAATCAAACCATTAACCCATGCTGAAATCCAAGTCTGCATAAACCCAAGATGCTAGCCCATTACAAACACACACCTTGTTAAAGAAAAGGCTTCTGAAGAATCAGCCCAGGAAGCTTAGACCAAACAAAACAACCATACTTGGACTTAAAGGCCTAAGAAAAACCAAACCCAGCTGGAAAACAGAGTACAGCCTAGCCCATGCGGGAAAAAACCTTCCTTCAGATTAATTTTGATGAAATAGTTTGCTCTTGCTGAGTAGATTAACTTTACATATTTTTGTTCAGAACTCTTCATAATTGAAACAGATAGCGGATCAAATGAGAAACGAAGGAAAGAATGTCCTTGTGAACGTGCCGGAATTTATAATGCTCATGTTGCTATATCCACTGTGTCTTAAGGTTTTTTAAGAGGTAAGTTTCTGCTGTATCTCAAGGTTTTTGACAAGCTGGAAGCATTTACAAGTTTTAGAGTGCATTTGTTTACGTAGTTACGGATACATTTTAATTAAAATATAGTTTATAATTATTTAATTAAAAAAAATTATTGTGTTTTGATCTCATATAATTTTTATATTTAAAACATGATTAATAAAAAGTAAGAAAATCCTGTTTTTTATGCAGTGTTCATGTTAATTACACTGTTTAGTGAACAGTGTAATTAACATGAACAGTGTATATTGGTACACTGTTCAGTTTATAGTATAATTTATTTGCACTGTTCATACAATTTTTTTTTAGTATTAATTTTATTAATATTTTAAAAAAACTAGTTTAGAATGAATTAAATTTATTTACACTGTTATGTGAATAATATTTTTTTAAAAAAAACACTAGTATAGAATAAATTAAATTCATTCGCACTATAATATCAATTTTATACCTAATAATATTTTATTTAATTTTATTACATGCTCAAAAAATTATAAAAACTGTAGTTCTTATCGGATGAATTTTGTATGTATTGGAATTATAAATAGTTTAATGAAATAATAAAAAATATTTTATATAAAGTATTATTTATTTCATGATATAATAGGAGTAATTAATTTTACAATATTTAAATTTAAAACCATCAATATTAATATATATTTTTAAAAATTATTTTATAACCTCAATTTCAAAAGTATTTTTAATTAAATATATTAAACTACTTTTTTTAACCTCAATTTCAACCACAATTTTAATTAAACATTTATTTTTTCAAACTAACCTCAACTAAAAATATTTTTTATAAAATATTTTTTTTCAAATCACAACTACAACAGCTATTACTATACCAAACATATTTTTAATAGACCATATTTCTATGAACTTCCATGAAACATCTCGCAGATCAAACTAACTAGGACTCCATGGAAGGTTGCAGAGGCTTTCTCATGTTCATCTGGAGATATTGTTCATTTTCATCGCCTTAAAGTGGTGCATACCTTGTTAGATGAAATTTATTTCATAGTTTTGGTTCAATGTGATATAGTTTTTAGCTTTTTATCCATACAAAATTAAAATTAAATTATGTTGTCTTTTTGTATTTTCAACTCGTAAATTAATAAAAAAGAGTCTTATTATATTAGTTTTGACCCCTCTAGGAAATCATCCTAGCTCTGCTGCTGATCACGATGCTGTCATAAATGCGTTGTGGACCGAATTGATTTTCAACTTCGAGTTTTGACGGAATTTTCTGTCACAATTTTTATTTCCTCAGCATCCTTTAAAGATCATATCCTTAATGTACAGGTGCAAATTACGTACAATAATGTTGTCCATGACAGCATTGTGATACAGTTCTCTGCTAAGCAAAAGCAAGGGGATGGAGGTGATCGGAGGGAAAGAGAAACAAGAACAAGGGAATGAATATAAATTAAGAGAAATTTATTAGCCTACAAGTGTATGCTTGGAAAATATGGAAACTACTGTACAGTGAACAAGATGCATTTCTGAGGCTAGTTTGCTCCTGCTAAAACATCATTCAAGCCAGAATATATATTTTTTTGGAAGCTATTTTAGATAAATTCAAATGCTAGACCTAAATCCCACGATTAATTCTTCTGTGTATTAATAGGATTTAAGTATGGCATTTGTTTGTGGAATAAGTGGTGGACATCTCACTGGGGCAGGATGGTGAATCCCATGGCAGGTTAGACTTCCATGCATCAGGCAGGTTTGAAGGCAAGCTGAAGGGGAATCCGATGGACCGGAAAGTCCCCATAAGGTTATTATCTTGAATTGAACTTGGATTCTTTCTCAAGCCTGTCTCATCTCCTGTGCCTATATCACCTTGCATTTCTTGGAGCAAATTGATCGAGAATCCATTGAACTGCTGTTGTGAACCTTCATATTCTGTGCTCTCGGAAGCTTTACCAGCTTCACCCATCAATGCAGGATTCAATAGCATGGAAGGAGCATCATCTGTAGACTTGATGGGACCCGAATTCTCGAGGGGTGAAAACAAGAAGTTGTTGGGAAGATCACCGTTTGATACGGGGAATATATATGATGTGTGGACTAAAGGATTAATAGGCCTGTAAGAGGGGATGTCTAAAACAGGGAGACCAGCAGGAGGGGCCTGCTGGAAGTCATTATTGGAGCCTAAATGGAAATTTGATCCTATTTCAGTTGTGCATGACATGTTCTCTGAACTGAACTGAGTGCAGTGTGCCCCTTGGGCGAAAAAATCAGAAGCTGTAGTCTCTGGTAATACTGGAGAGACCCAAGAGTGAGAAAGAGCTCTTTGTGCCATGGAATTGGTTTTCTTGAATATCCTACAAATAGCCCATGCATCCTACAATCATGTATAAGAAAATTAACACTCATCATATCATAAACATTTTTCTTTTATCATCGAGATGAAAATGAACATATAGATGGAATTAAGTACAGTACTGAAGGATGCATAGAGTCATTACGTTTGGAGGAAGGCTTTTGTCTAGGAGCTTCTTTGGTGGTGGTGGCTCAGCAAGAGAAGGAAGCCGGAATTCGTGCATCATCCAGTCAGTTTTCATTCCTTTAGCAGCTCGACCTCTGTAGAACACCAGGGACTTCTTCAAGCCTATGCACCTGGTGCCATCAGAGGAGTAAATAGGACGGTCTGTTCCAGTCGCCTTCCAAAACCCAGCTCCAGTAACTCTATTTGGCCTTGCACTGTTCCTGTACTTACGGTCCCTTGGGCAGTAAAAGTACCACTCTTTCTCTCCCGTAGTCGCCAGCTCTTCTTGTGGGATAAGGATAAAAAGAAAGTACTCAATAAAGTTTATAGACTTAAGAATGAACTATATATATGATAAGCTTTGCGTAAGCATTAATGTAACAGTAATATTTTCTCAACTTTGAAAGTGGTGATCATGATGTTGAAATTTTGTATGCTTCCTAGTGTTTTTAACAAAAGAATCTTCCAAACAAGAGGAAAGTTCAAATGAAAGTACCTTTACTAACTTAATATCCGTTCTTTCTCAAGGAAACTTCAAGGAAATTTCTTATCTTGATATATATAGATATAAGTTAAGCATGCAGGCTCTAATCTCTATTTTCTTGTCTTTTGTACATGCATGCCAGGTCTAACTCAACTCTGAAATCTGTTAGCAATGAAAGAAGACGGAGAAAACTAAAAAGAAAGATGGAGTTTCATACTTGGAAGATCCCAAGGATCATATTTATAAATATCAACTTGCTTGATAAGCTCAATAGGAAGAGATCGCTGCTGTATCTTTCTTTTGAGGTAGAACCCAACAAGCTCTTCATCAGTTGGATGAAACCGAAAACCAGGCAACATCACATCATCGATCTTATCTACATCATTCTTCTCTTCCATCTCCCTCCTCTTCTTTATCTCTAAAACTTTCGCTTGAAGTACGCTAAGTTTAGAGAGAGTTGAAGAAGAGAAATAAGTTGTAGCACTGGAATAATCTAAATATGAAGTGAACCTGGCTAGAAGAAGTAGGTTTTATCGTATTCCTAAATCTTGAAATCGAGGTGGGGTTTCTTGTAGCACAAGAAGCTGTTGGAGAAACTAAACCAAACCAAGAAGTGATAACCACAAAAACTAATAATTGTAACAGTACAGGAGGAGCTAGCTCAAGCTGTGAGGAGCATCAGAGTTATGAGTAAAGAGAGGAGCACTTAAATCAAAACCAAATTCTATATGCTTCCTGAGAGGGGTTCTGATTCCGAAGCTTAGGCCACCATTTCAGGATGACTGCAACGGAGAGTGTGTTTATGCGAAAATCACGATGACTTTGTAAGAAATATTTGAGCTCAGCTAATTATATAATAAGCTCACACAGTAAGACTGCTACAACCCGAGTCAAGGAAATTGTGGTTTTGAATGGAACTGACTCATGACTTGCCCTCTCCTAAATCCAATTTATGGATCTCAAGAGACTACAGAAACAGCAGCATTTTGAGGCTTGAAAACCAAGCTGTTTTCACACTTCTTGGTTAAAAAAATAGATAATAATAAGAAGAACAATAGAAATTCCCTTTAATCTTCAACAAATCAAAAGACAAAATGACAAACCAAGCGTCCAATGTGTCATGCTATTTTATTTCACTCGTAAAATAATCATAGCTTGAATTGTTTCCCCCCCTTAAACTATAAGGAGAGGTTCTGGATGGATCAATTTCCAACATTACAAAAAAGTTCAAATTTATATTCAATTCATTCTATGAGATTCTCTGCAAATTCCCCTGATAAAAAATATATCTATTTTAGCATCCCTTGGATCAGAGAAATTCCCTTCCCATTCTCTTAGGCCTTCCATTCCATTCTCTCTGCCACATTTGAACAGGTGATAATATTGTAGTTTTGTGTTATTATCTACAATGGGTTCCCTGGACCACCCTTAACCTAATCGAAAAAAATCAGTAAATAAAATAGTTCCACACTTCTACTGGCCGTTCCATGGCCAAGAGTATCCTCATTAAACATGCATATTGGATCTATTAAACTAAGAAAGGCTCTGAAGCAACGGCTCAGAACAAAGAAAATTAAAGAGCATATTGCAAGTTAACTTTCATTCATGTTCACAGCTAGAAAAGCAGTAGAAAGATCTCTACCATATTTGGTTGAATAATAATTAATTTTCTTTGGAGCTCATTAATTACAAAAAGTCAAGTTTACAATACTTGGGACATACAATACTGTGATCTTAGCAGCATCCATTCTACAGAGCTCAACTAACGCTTCCAGAGAACACCTGGAAATTTTTGAGATGTCACCCAATGATAGTACCAGTAGAACGTAGGGCTAGCCAGCAACAGTGCTGCTTCGAGACAAATGTTTTGAAAACTGCGACGGATCGAGCTAGCCAAAGCCAGGTAAATTCAAGGGGGGCTGTTCACCAAACAGTAAGAAATAAGCAGCTCAACCACTTGCTGGTATGACTAGCGATGCCATGACATAATGATTTTTTGCAATGTCAAGAAGCTCATGGCAGCATAGAATTAAGCGGATACTTGCTCTCGGATATATCTTACGAAAATATTTATCAGATGCATTAAATGGGTTTTACTCAATAAAAATCCGTTCATACTATATGGAAAATGATCTTCTTTCATCACAACGAGAGAAGAAATCGAAAACTTTCTGTTCTAATATATTGATTCTGATGCTCGACACCGAGATCACAACAGAACGCAAAAGTCAATCTTGCACCTTGATTTCATGAACATTGAAACATGAAATTTGAGGATGGCAATTTTTATTTATTTATTTACAGTTTCTCGGGCAAAAGCTAGCTACCAGCTTTTACCACAATATTTTCGAAATTCAAGTTGTGACCCACCAACGTATTAATTATCGCTGACTTCATATTATTAATTTTATTTAGAGATCTCAGTAGTACTTTCTCATTACAACTTCTGAGAACAAAAAAAGTATATCTCAGCACAGTTTTACAAACGGGGCCACGATGAACTAGACACATTGAAGCCTCTCTTACGCTAGACATTAGTCATGGGAACCGTTGTTTCAAGCAAAGTAGTGTTAATTAGTTATGAACCCTAAAACTAATTAAGAAAAATGTGCACAGAACAAGAATAGGGTGCCAAGAAATCAGTGTTTCTCTGCTTGAGTTTGCTCAATATTGCTACTATATGTTTCCAAGACAGAATTAAACTCGATATAAATATGAAGATCATAATGGTCAATGGCCAATTGGGAAGTCCAAAATGAGTGAAACTCAATTCCCAAAAACATAGCCCTCGTTTAAAACCCTTTTTGTCTTGTTCTTGGCCTCAATTTTGTAACCCATGCGTGCAACCCCTGTTGAAAAAAAGGGTTGAACTCTTGTAATCGAAGCTTCCACTTCTCTTTTTGTGTGAACATTAAGTCATTAAACCTCTCTTAAGCTTAATCATGTTCCCAATGTAGAAAGTCCACGTTAAAGTTTAAACCTATCAGATGGCCGGCAAATTTTCAAACCACATTCTTAAACCCTAAATTCTACCGTTTGATTTGATTATGCCAAGCTATGTATTTCATGTTTCTTGTCTAAAGCAGCCGGCCATTCCTATACCCAACATGTTCGTACGCAAAAATTTTCTCCACGTGATCTTATCATGTGTCATGAAATTAAGAATTGATTTAAATTAGTAATTTTAATTCTAGTTCTCAACCTCATTTTCAAATTATCCTGGTAACTGGAGATCCGATTTAATATATATTTTTTAATTTTATTTCTAAAGCATTTTCACGGTGTCAAGAAAAAATCATGATATTGTATTGACATGCTAGATTTTGCAAAAGTAAAAAGAAAATGTTGGCTTTGTAGTTTGTGAAAAAATAAAAAATAAGGGGATTGAAATTTAAAGTTAGGCAAAAATAAAGGTTTTTGTTTTTTTTATTGTTTATTTAGTTCCATTTCTAGGAAAATTGCATCTAGATTTTTTCCAAATTTTCTTTTAGTCATTTTAGTTTTACAGTTATACATTTTGATTCAAAATTTAATTTGTTTTGAGAGATGAGATATATTTAGAAAGAATTAAAAAAAAAAAGAAAAAAAGTTATCGATTTACCACATAGCTATAACAAAATTGATTTCATGTAGTCAACAAGTTTTATATGAAGAAAAGAGTTTAATTAAAGTATTTTTTTATTTTTTATCTTGTCAGAAAAAAAGTAAAAATATTGAGGTTAAAAAAGATTTTTTTTTTCTAGGTTTGATTTTGTTTTTGTGTAAATTTAGAAGCATTTTGAATTTATTATTTATTTTATAGATATAAGAGTGCTTATTTAATGTTTTAAACGAAAATATATTATAAAATATTTTTTTTAAATACAAAAAACTTGAGTCCAAAATATTGACCGTATTTTTAATGGTTGAAAAATAGGTACTCATTATCTATTTTTTTTTTTAAAAAAAAGAGCTTGTCCTCGCATTTAACAAAGGATTAAAAAAAAGAAAGAAGGAAAGGACGAGATGCGTGGCCTTGGCCTTATAAGCCCTCGTGTGTGGCTTTTCTTTTAAATGAGTCGAACGTGCTGGTTCACCCTACTTTAGATGTTTGGTCTCTTTTGCCCTTTAATTTTTTTCTCTTCAATTTAAATTAAAAGGCATTAAAATGGATTAACTAAAAATAGATTTGGGATATTATTCTATGAAATGCCATTCAATTTTTACTTTGATAATGTAAAAGAACTTCATCTTGAAATAACTATTTGTTTTCAGTCAAACTAGGTTTTTAAATTTTTTAGTTGAAATTTATTTAGATAAATTAATTAAAAATGTATTTAGTATATTATTTGATAAAGTGTACTTCAATTTCTACTTTGTTATATTTAACAATATCTAAGGTATTTCTCTAGAAGTGATGAGCTTTTTTCTCTTTTATGCAACTCTTTATAATTTTTTATTCTTAATTTTTTTAGATTATATTCAATTGTTTTTCTTTACTTGTTTATTTTTGTTATCATATAATTAAATAATTAATTTAATTAAAAAACCATTTATTAAGCTTAATCGGATTGAAGACTTGTATAGAAAGTTTAATGAGTCAATTCAAATAAATATAAAACACTTCTTCTCAAAATTAAATAACCAACTTATTAATTTTTTTAAAGTCAAATCAAGTTTTGAATATAACAATTAAGTTTTGATTGGACTTATTAAATCAAACAAGTTATTCTAACATAATTTAATTTAAAACTTATATCATGTATGGACCATCATAAGATCAAGCGACAATTAATAAGAAAAAAAGCAGTTATGCTAACAAATTATTTTTTTAATTGATTATTAATTTTTAGTTTTTTTAAGAAAAATAAACATATAATTAAATAAATAATTTAAATAACATAACTTGGAATAAGGTCGTGTTTTTTATATGTATATATCACTTAGTTTTTTAATTTAATCTTTTATTATTATTAATAAATTTTTTAGTATTTATTGATGCATATAATTATTAATTAAATTTATTAAGCGAACGCATCAAATCTCAGTTCACATTTGAAAATCGCTTTAATAAAACCTTCACAACAATTACATATTCTTTTTTTTTGCCCCTCGAAGACGAATTTCTAATCCTGCCCGCAGGGGAGTGTGGATACCAAGACTAATACTTAGCTATATCACAATAATTCTTGTCGGTAGAAAATTAAAAAAAGGAGTCATGAACTAGCTGTATTGCCGTGAATCTTACAAAATCTTACTATTTTAAGCTACTTTTAAATTTATCATATGCAAGCACACTCTTGTGTGTGTGTGTATATATATATTTTAAAATAAAAGATGAAATTAAAAATTAATAAATTTTTTATAAAATAATAAAAAAATTAGAAATCAAAAGAAAGGACTAACCTGAAAAAAATAAGATATGTCAAATTGAAATTGATAAATAAAAATAAAAAAATATAAATTTTTTTTTTATAAAAGATTAAGAACAAAAATTTAAAATCAAAGGAATAAGAACTTAAGTTAAAATATCAACAATAAAAATGATTGATATATAATTTTTTGGAAAGAGAAAAAAAAATAAAAAAAATAAAAATTCTTTTAGTGACAAACTACTTTACTATTGTTAACATAGATTGCACCATGAAAGAGAGGATATAACACTGCTTCTAATAATATGGTAGAAAAGAAATTTTGACCACTAGTAAGCCCTTTATGCGCCTCCCAAATCATCAAATAACTCTCATACGCAAGGGCGTAACATACACCAATAATGTTTTTAATTTAATTAATAATTAATTTATGCTAGAAGATCAAAATGTTTTCAATAAAAAAAAAATAGAGATCAAAATATTTTTAAATTAAAAACATGATTAATTTTTTTTATTCCAATGATAAACTTATCATTTTACCATATTTAAAAAATGAAAAGGCATTAAAATTTTTGTTTACTAGTTTAAAAGCACATATAATACAAAACCCGGTTCATGGTTATGCTTTGCCATCGCTAGGTATCCATTAGGACACTGCATTTACACAAAATGTGGACAGGTGTTGTACCTTTGGCGCCAAGGGACAATTGAAGTGTTTTTTTATGTAAAATCTATTATGCGTTATAACATAAAATCATAAAACCTTCCAAGTATCAATTTCAAAGAATGTCATGTAATCATTTTATTAAATTTTAGTTAATCTATAAGAGACCGTGTGAATTTTAAAGTTTTATTTGATTATCTATTTTTTAATATTAAAATAATTTTTTAAAATTTAATTAGAGTTGATCATCATGAATTGAATATTAAACATATTATATATAGTTTAGTTTGGTAGGTAGTGTTTGTGAAGTGTTGTAGTTATTATTTTTTAAAGTATTTTTTATCTATAAAAGATTGAAGAATAATAATAAATAATGTTTTAAGGTTATACATAGACCAAATGTATTGATTAATTTCTCTTTTTTGTTGTCAAATCATTGATGAATATAGAATAAATATAGATGTGAACATTCTATTATTAAAATGATTATTTCTTTCGCTTTTTTTATACTAATCTTTTTTATTTAATTAAAAGAGATTTGGTTAAACAAACAAAACAATTAACGAAGTATACTAAAGCACAAGCAACGGAGCCTGTTCGCTGGCAAACAAGCTAAGAAACAACATACTAACTTCTAGCTTGACCTAAATGAAGAGACAAAAATGAAAAGTATAAATCATTTCGTTAAACTAGGAGTCAATAATCACAACTCTATTAGTCGTTATATATATATATGTATTATCGGACCCTATCTATTAGTGAAGATTCAAGGGTAATATAATGGAAATATCGGACCCTATCTATAAGTGAAGATTCAAGGGTAATATAATGGAAAACAACATCCCTTTAATATAAACTTTTAAGTTCTAGGATTTTAACTCCACTTGCCTGAGTGGCAAGTTTTGGTAGGAGCTACATAAGCTCGCCGGAAAACTCTTTATCCGGCATCTTGAGCAAATAAAATACTCTTATGCATCGATCAATCAATTGGCAATTCATCATAGATTCTAATAATAATGCTACCTTAATTCTTAATTTTCTGTTTAAATTTTCAAAAAGGACTACAAAACTTGTCTTTTTTTGCTTGACAATGATCAGAAGGGATGCGGATATCTTGGATTTGGATTTGTATATAACAGGAAGAGGAATCGGGTGATAGCGCTTTTGATTGTGAAGTGAGATTCATACTTTTTCTTTAATTAAGAGATATAGACAACATTAAATAAATTCAAGCTTAATAATACTAAATCAAAAACTACAAAATATGACAAACTCACATGCTTACATATATCCATTAATCTAAAATCATATTTCTTTTATGTTTAAGCAAGTGGTGTGGTTTACTTGAGACCTCATTAAGGAAGTAGCCCATGATTACCATCATCATCTTGGATGAGTTGATTGGCCACCGGTCTAAGGCAATGATCGGGAAACTTCAATTATTGTTTGAAATTATAATAATAGTTATTTATTTTTAAGGGGTGTATTTTTAATATAATATTAAAATAATATATTTTATTATTTTTTAAAAAATTATTTTTGAGATCAATATATCAAAACGAGTTGAAAAAATCAAAATAAAATTAATTTAAGGTGAAAAATAAAAAAATTTAAATTTTTTAAAAGTTGAGAAAACCAAAATAAATTTAATTTAAGGTCAAAAAATAAAAAAATTAAATTTTTTAAAAATATTTTTAAAATATAAAAATAAACATATATTAACATTTCAAAATTAAATAGAATAGTAATTGCTATAATTGAAAACAAACAGCTTTTAGAATAGTAAATAGCTAGATTGATCATTGATGGGATCTTGGAGACAAATGATATCTTAAGCATATCAAACATAAATGAATTAGAATGGTAATTACTATAAGTGAAGATTAACATAAAATATTTTCCATAAAACATGGTCGACACGCAAGTAGAAAAGGAACCCGACTTGGCCCAATGGTAAGAGGAGGCACCTACCACAGAAAAAGATGTCATGTCTTGGTTGTATTTTTTTTTTCCTCTTATAATCGTCAGCTAATTTAGGTCCTTCTCATTGTAGGTCCATCTCATGTTTATTTATATGAAATGTAAAGATAAATGTACAAAAACTAATTTATATATCATTTATATCTATTATTTGATATAATTTAATTGATTAAATTTTAAATTTATTTTTTAAAAATTATTAGTTTGAGTTTTATAAATTTAAAAATTATCAAAGTTGTTAATTTTAAAACTTGTAAATTAATTTGAATATTCATGTTAAAAAAATAAAAATAAAGGATATGCAAAGTATACTATAATTCAATTACTGTCTCTTTCTTTGGAACTTGATGTAATTTTTTAAAGCTTATTGCTTCCTATTTTGTTTGTTAATGAAAGATCAGATAAGTTCTGCTCTTATACGCGCACAGTGTGAACATTAAGAGCAGTATAAAATTCCCAGAAAAGAAGACAAAGGGGTGTTCGGTGCACCCATAGTTTAAATTTTGAATTATTTTTATTAAAATTATATTTTTTTATATTTTTAAATTATTTTAATGTTTTAATGTTAAAAATAATTTTTTAAAAATAAAAAAAATACTATTTAAATATAAACTCATAAAAATCTCATGTACCTGTCAATATTTATTTTTCACGGTAACTCATGCATGAAGATAACCAGCGGAGTCCCTGTTTCTTAAGTCTTAAGGAAACGTTCTAGACCTCCATTTTCAAATACAGTCCAAGTTTAAAGTCTCAAAGGATTATTAGAGAATATTAGATCTCGACTGGTAATTAATTTCTTTTCAATCTAAAGCCTTAATGATAATGTGTCAAGTAACAATATAAAATTATTTATAAAATCTTATAATTACTTAAACATACATTGACCAAAAATCACAAATTAATATAAATATTACAGCCTTTTCTTTCTAATTAAATTGAATATTAATATAAATTATTTTCACAGTGTTTAAGTCCTTAAATTAAAAACGAAAAGTTTTGATTTGAAGTGAAATGTTTGGAAAATTATTACAAAATCATTTTTAAAATCTCATTTAAATTATATGATTGAAGTTTTTACATAATGGATGGAATACTTAAATTCTTAAAGAGAAAAGAACAAGTAGTCAAAATAATTAAAATCCAAAGCCCGTGGTGAGGAATACAATATAACTATTATCATAGGAATTACATTTGTTATAACTAAAAACCAATAAATATATATTATCTATATATAATAATAAAACGGATACAAAACATTGCAAATAAATTGTTGATATATCTTTTACTAGATCATGCCAAATTATGTTAACACGTGCCAAGCAAAGCAATTCCAAGTATTTTTTTTTTTATTTTTTTTTTGTTCTTGACGAGGGAGGACCGTAGTAAATTACTCCAGAACTAGTCTTTTATTCATTTCTTCTAGAATTTCAAGACCCAAATCCATAATAGTTCAAGGCTGCACATATTTGGACTCCTCCTTTCAAATCAAACCTTATTGGGCTCACAATCCTTCTCAAATCCATTTGTGAACACTGCCTTCCTTCCCTCTTCTCATTGTCGAGCACAATGATGAACTAAATTGGAACACTGAATCATACTACAAACTCGAGATCTTTGTCTCTTTTATTCACCTCAAAAACATCATCTTAAAATACAAAAAAAGTAAAATAAAATTGAAAAACCCTAAAACTTGGCATACCCTTCTATTCCATCAATTCCAAATACTAAAAGGATATCAAATATTTGGAAACTTTGGTTTCTTTTGTTGATCATGAAGTTTTCAACAACAAAATGACAGTAGATGAAGCACAGGTGATAGTACATGCAGTACTTGTAGCAAAAGAAGTTACTGATGAAGAGAAAGGATATGCTACTCTTTTTTCCCCTTTTGATTCTAACTTCTTGTTATCCCAAGTCTAGTTCTAATATTTAATTAGAGGAGAATCATTGTAATTTTAAAATCAGAACTCATCTTTCAATGGTTCTTGCTCTCTCTCTCTCTCCCATGATTTTTAAAAAAAAAACCTTATTAAAGCTTTAATTGTTTAATTTACCCCTCAAAACTTCACTTTACGAATATATATATATAGGTTTTGCAAACATGATTCTATAAAAAATTTGCTTGTTGCATTAGGCTCAATTTTTATAAAAATTAAATTTTTATTTATAAAAAAATAAGAGAAATTTTAATATAATTTTAGAAAAATACACGTGTTGATTTTTCTTTACATCTTTTAGAATTTACACCAAGTTTGTAAATTTTTTTAAGGATTTGACCAATATTTCAATAACTTTAATTTTAATCCATGAATATTAATGGTCAATATCTTAATATAAATGTTTGACTTATAAGCAGACTAGTATTTAAATACAAGAAGTTGATCAAAAATTTTTTAGAATCATTTTAGATATCCATCAATTTTAGTTGGAAGTATTTTTTTGTTGTAGTATAGGAGTTGTAGAAAAACTTTTTACCTTCC